TCCTTTCCTAAAGGTTTTTCCCCTGCTACAGTAACTGGCAATAATTGCATGGCCATCATTAGACTCTTAATTCCAGATTTTTAATTGAATTTGCCATGGAGGGATTCAAACCCAGATTCCCAGAACATTAGCCAGGCCTTGGAATCACAAGCACAGTGACAATATCACTAGGACATTCCCACCTCACCTTCCCCTATGTTGCCCTTGCAAAAAAGTACTTGATTGTAAAGCACCCTGAGGTGCCCAAAGTTGTGAAAGATACTATAGCAAAGCAAGATTATTTTTTAATAAGACTGTGCATTTGGAATAGGAAACAGAAAACTATTAGGCCTAAGGTGATCAACAAAAGCTCGCCTTTGTCTTTATTTTCACAAACATGGTACACGGGACTAAGCATAACATTTACTCATTAAGTCTCGTCCCTCCTTAGTTTCTTGTTTAAATGGTGAGTAGGCAGCAGACAAACTTGCATCAGTTCACAGGAATCTGGTCCAAGATCAGCAGACAATAACATGAGGGGTGGGTCCCGCAGTGTAGGGGGAGAAGAGAAGGACCCCTGAAAGCATCGAAGACACCACTCCTCTAGTCAATATTGCTAGCCAAAGACAGCTAAGTGGCCAAGCGTATTGCACATGGGCCGAGAAGGTGAACATACTGGGGAAGCATTCTCACTGAAAAGCTACATTTAGAAGGACCGTGCTTGATTCACGACTAGTCCCGGAACTTTCCTCAGCTCCTGGGACCCTTAATGTAAAGAGAGCACTTTAACCACGAGCAACACTACAGCTCAAATGGACAAGAACGTCTGCCTGAGAATGTCACATACAAAAGTCTTTATGTCGTATATATCTGTACACAAGTATTTACATGTTCATATAAATTAAACTGTGCAAATAGGCTTTAACAATTCATAGATTTTTGTCTTATTTTACACGCACGTTTTCCAAAACCATTCAGAACTCATTGCACATTTAGCATATCGAAGCATTTGCCATACAACTTAAAAAAAAAGAAACTGGACAATAAACATATCTATAGTGGTCCACTGTGCACAACGTTAACAGGCAGGGCTGCTGTGTCACTGAACCTCGTACCTGACCTCAATATAGAACACATTCTGCCATTGACTAAAGCAAGCTACACAAGGAGGCACTAAGCAAGGCACTGGGACTGAAAATAATGTGTGGGGACATCAAAGATAACAGCTAATGAGCCCAACATCCCCCCTACCCCAGGGCATGAATTGTAGGTTAAAAAAACAAGAAAGTAATATTACAAACCCATTTATAAATCTCTGGATTAAAGGCAAAACCATGAAATACAAAGCTAAGCGAAAGGATCTCTCTTTAACCAAGGTCAAGTTGCTCCTGAAAGGGATAATTGCAGTCAGAGTTCAACTTGAAACGTTGACTCTGTTTCTCTCTCCAAAATTAACAGACCTGTTGAGTTTCTTCATCACTGTCCATGTGTTTTGTTTGACTCAGATTACTAGCATCCTCAGTTCCTTGTTCTATCTCTTCAACATCAACTGGAAGTTGGGGCTGGAGGCTGACAGACCCTGTTCAAACCAGAGAGAGTGCACAGAGCTTCAGAGATCCCAACCTCACTGTCCAGGTCTCCCAGCTGGGGAGTCACTCTGGGGGGGAATGTCACCATAACTGGTTTGGTTGGTTCTGGCTGTACCAGTCTTCCTACCCTCTCTCTCTCAGCCCCAACAACAATGAGGAGCTCCAGTGGCGTGGGTGGCTGGGGTGGGGGGGAGTGGTGGTGGTGGGGATTGGGGGGTGCTGGTTTCTCTGCCCTCTCTGTCTCAGGAATAAGAGGAGATGCTGCATCCACCGACCCTGACCCTCTGGAAGGCGTGATATCCTCCTCAGTCTTTCCCCTTCGTATAATCGCGGGCTTGAAATCTCTCTTGGGGTTTCTCACACTGGGCCCAAACCAGCTAACTCGCAGAGGTAGAATTTCTAACCTCCTGGATGGCTCAGTTCCATGCCCACTGCCCACCTAATTAACCTTTGAACTCTTGCCCTGACCACTGGAAGTTGAATGAGAATTTTACAGTACACAGCGAGGCCATTTGGCCCATTGTGTCTGTACCTGCTCCCGAAAGAACTCCCCAGCTAGTCCCACTCTCCAGACCTATCTCCGCAGCCTGGGGTCTGGGCTCAGTATTGAGCAGTGAAGCTTGTTCTAAGGAAATGGTGGGACAATGACCCAGGCCACTGGACTGTAATCCAGGCCATGGTTACTGTTTTGGGGAAATGGGTTCAAGTTCCACCAAAGTAGTTGAGGGATTTAAATTCAAATAATTTCGAATCTGGAATCTCAGTAATGGTGAGCATGAAACTATCACCGATTATCATAAAAAGCCATCTTGTTCACAAATCTGCCATCTTTACCTGGTCTGGCCTACATGTGACTCCAATATGACTGACTCAACAGTTCAGGATGGGCAACAAATGCTAAATATGCTCACAACCCAGTTTTTTTTTCTTAAAACTACAATCAGAGCAAACAGGAAACACTGTGAAAGATAAGTTACTGGTGAATAACTCAACAGTCTTGGTTAAATGTGGGATTCCAAAACTTGGAGTTCCAGTCAGATTATTGTAATTAGACTGGTGTGAGGTGAAAATCCAGTGGAGACACAGAATGTCGGCCACACGTTTAGTCCTTGCCCAATTTTGACCGGAAGCCCCGGGAAGCAAAATTGAGCAGTGTATACGAGGGGCAATGTTCCAACCCCATACACTACCTACACCAAATCTTAACTTCAAGGAGTCAAAGTGAAAGAGCTGTGGAAGCAGGGAGATGATCTGTGCTCTGGATGGTGGTGTCCATCAGTGTGTTCACACTGGCCTCTATATTCAGCCATCCAAATGGCTGACTAGTTTGGATACACCAAGGGGTGGTGGTGAGGAGGATTGGGGGGAAGGTCACCATGAAGGAGCTGGCATAGAAATGGACCCAGCTTTGCTTCCCATTCGTTTCATAGCGACACAGCAACCAGTAACAGGGGTAGGCCATTCAGCCCTTCAAAATTGCTCCTTCATTCAATATCATGGTGGATCTACTTTCTCCGCATACTCCTTGATGTCTTTAAAATCTGAAAACTTATAAATCTCTTTCTCGAATATATTCAGTGACTTGGTCCCCATGGCATTCTGTGGTAGAGAATCCCACAGGTTCACTCCCCTTGGGTGATGTCTCCTCACCTCAGTCCTAAATGGTCTATCCCTGAGGCTACGTCCCCTGGTTCTAGACTCCCCGTCCTCCCTGCATCTGGTCTGTCCAGATCTGTTAGAATTTTATAGTTTTCAGTCAGATCCCCTTTCATTGTCCCAAACTCTAGCGAACACAAGCCCGATCGAACCAATCTCTCCTCATAGGACAGTCCAGCCACCCCCAGTATCAAACTAGTGAACCTCCACTGCTCTCCCTCGGTGTGAATTCCACTGAAAACGGTTATCGTGCAGTCCTTATACTGAGGCTCAATCCCACAATGGGAGATCACCCACCTCAGTCTATCACTCATAGCCCACATGCACAAGAGGTTTGCTTTAAAGCCTCAATGCGATTTCTTTTGGATTCTTCTTGTCACTTTGCAATGGGTTATTGTCAAAAGTAAGGTGCTTGAAGACAAAACAACAGGAGTCTTGTCTGATCCCTCTAATTTTCAAAGAATCTTACAGTTTTTTAGCTCACTGAAACTGTGCTGGTTCTTTAAAAGAGCTGCCTAATTAATTCCAGTCCCCTCTTCTTTCAGCGAGACTCTGTAAATTGTTTCTTTCTAAAATATATCTCCAGTTCCCTTTTGAATTCTACACTCGACCATCCTGCCAGGCACTGCATTCCAGGTCATATCAATCCCGGTGTAAAACTCTCTCCTCTCTTTTAACAGGCCTTAACTACATGCATGCCCCCACTGTTCCTATCGATGGTCCTTTTATCAATTATTTTATGGCCCTGTCTTCTGGTTTCTGACCCCCATGCCAATGGAAACAGTATCCTTGTAGGTATTTGAAAAAAAAATCTTTCATAGATTTTTTAATGATGCATAGAAACCATACCACCTGCAAGTTCCCCTCCAAGCCACTCACTATCCTGACTTGGAAATCTATCACCATTCCTTCATTGTCACTGTGTCAAAATCCCGGAATTCCCTCACTGATGGCATAGTGGGTCCATCTGCAGCACATGGACTGCAGTGGTTCAAGGGGGTAGCTCACCACCACCTTCTGGGGCAATCAGGGACGGGCAATAAATACTGGGCTTAGCCAGCGACACCCTCTCCTATGCATGAATGATGCAAAAGCTTTTCTCTAGAATGACTTGTCATTCATTTCCACACCTAATCTGGTATATTATGTGTGCACATGCATGCGCGTGTGTGTATGTATGTATATACCTGTGTATAAGTGTGTACCCCTGTGTGTGTGTGCATCTACATGTATGTGTGTACCTGTGTGTATCTGCATGTATATGTGTACCTGAGTGTGTGTACGCGTCTATAAGTGTTTGTGTGTGTGTGTATACATGTCTATGAGTGTTTGTGTGCTGTGTGTGTGTAATTACTGATTTGTGTGTGGTGTATGTGTGTATGTGTGTGTGTGTGTGTGTGCGCGTACATGTGTCTTTGTATCGCACACATCCTAACTTGCTATTTTTTTGTGAGATACCTATTTAACAGCCAGGCTACATTCTCGCTGGAGACAAGGAATATTGGAGGCTTGTGACTCCTTGAAGTTTTGAGGAGCTGAGCAATGGGAAACCACAAATGAGCAGCATTAATTTCACCAAGTCTCAAATCCACCATCACTGAGAAATCTTCAAGACCTTCATTTTCAATGAAAATTTGTTGGTTTTTTTTTTAAACGGCGGATAGACTTTGTTGCAGTCTAACAAAACAATGTAATAAAGTTTAGATTTCAATCTTGAGAATTCACTGGGGGCTACCTCCCCCCCACCCACCCCACCATGTCGTTGATAAGGGGGAATTCACAGTTGGGAGTGGAGTCTTTATGCACACATATTGAAGTTCAGATATAATGCTGCACATCAGCTGTTTGCTTCCGTTTATTGTGCTGAAGTAAAAGTTCATCTCTGATCCTACAGTATCTTGCTCATGTGACCTGTACATAAAGGCCAAATGACATTGGACATCTTGTTCACATGAGGCTGGGATGGGACACACACACAGACACAGACACAGACAGGCAGGCAGACAGACAGACACACACACGCACACACACACACAGACAAATACCCCAACACAGACAGACAAATACCCCAACAGATACACACACGCACACAAAAAAAAAACCCTACCAAAACAGATACAAGCGCAGACTGCCACACACACACAGAGAAACACAGACAAGCACAGTCACTTGGTCTATCATATGGACTGCAGTGGTTGAAGAAGGAGGTACAGCACCACCTTTATGGGGCAATTAAGGATGGGCAGTGAATGCTGGTCTATCCGGTGATGACCACATCCTGTGCCAGACGAAAACACATAGACAGAGACAAACACAGACACACATATTCCACACAAATCACAAATAATTTAGGTTTAGCCAGGGCTTGACCGATCAGAGCTGCTGGCTGTGTGTTTGAAGAAAGGAAATCTGTGCACCAAGGTTAAAGTGGTTTCCGCTGAGAGCTGATTGTAGTCACCACCTGTTCAGTCACTCCTTCTTGTTCAGCGACATGCTATCTTAAATATCTCTGTTTCGTTTCATGGGGGTGTTTAACATCTATTACAAATCCTTCTTCCTCTCTAACCATCAGTGCTCCTTAAGTGCCACATTAATGCCGTTCCTAGTTAGGTAGACATCGCTTTTGATCACTATCGCCTGAATTGTTTTATTACTGCAAGTAACAGTGCAGTGAAAAATAGCCTGGAAGCAGGCACACGTATAGAGGAACATTGTTCTGAAAGCAGGGTGAAGTCAAAAGGGACATGGCCCAAGTTCCCTCAAAGGTTGTCATCAGGCATTTCCATGCAATAATTGTTGGTGAGCTCCTCTCTGCTTTCGGTTAGAGATTCGGTGATGTTTTCAAAGTCTTGCCTCGGGCTCACAGTCACCTCTTCTTTCTCAGTCCCAGCATAAAGCTGGCCATTGCCTGTCCACCTTCCATCTAACAGTTACTCTCCAACAAACACAAAGCTTTGTGCTCTGTTGGTTTCGGGCCCTCACAGCAAGGGAGCTTAGCCTTCAGTGTTATTTGTTCAGGCGGAGACTCGGGCTTTTCAGTGAATTGGGCCACGGGTTCCACAGTGTGGTGGGACGCCTCACTGTTCCCATTGTGGTAGTTACTGACCAGCTTGTGTTTCTCCAGGTTGGCACTTCCATTCCTGGCGTGTGATGGTTGACTGTAAGTGTGCCTGTACTCTTCCTCAATGTCCTGGCCCAGTTTCCACCTCTTCCATTTCTTGAGGAGCTCTGACTGCACCTGGGAATGGGAAGGGAGAAAACAGCAGCGGGTTATAAATGGAACTGAGCGGGAGGAAGTCTAAGAGAAACGACTGAGTGTAGGGACCACAGGCGGCTGAAGGAGGACAGCTAGTCAAGGAACAAGGGAAGTGCGTATGTGTGGCACCCTTCAACAATGGTGTGGGAAGGGAACAATGGGAATTTCATCCATTTTCCTTTCAACTTTATGAGGGATAAGGTATTAGCTTTCGAGTAATAGGAATTTATTCCCCTTCCTGCCTCTCCAGTGTCTCAGTCTCCATTTTCCTCCACCAGTTGATTCCTTTCAAACAAACCTCTCCATTTCTGTGCTAATGTAGGTGCTTTAAGACTCCCTATCATTTTAATTCAATATTGTCTTCAGAAATCAGCTCCCCTGGGTTCACAGCGTCTCTCAATCACAAGGGTACATCACGGAGTTAGCAGGGGAACACACAATTTCCACCTTAATGATCTGCTGCTATGTGTCAGTACTTCTCTGTAATAGTCTCATTCAGTCCCTCCTGTTCTTATTGGCTGAGCACTCTCCAGTTTTAGCTTCTAACTTTAGCTCAGTTGGAGAGTATTCTTGCCTCTGAGGTGGTAGGTAATGTGTAAAAGCCCGCTCGCCCCCACCCCAGACACTGGGGAGCAAGCTTCAGGCAGGAACAGTAGTGTAGTCTGCACCAAAACTAATGCTGCACTGTGAAAAGGTTATGATCTTCAAGATCAGATCTTAAACTGAGACCCCACGTAGATGCAAAAAAGGTCTAACGGCAGTATTCTGTGACCAGGCCAGATTCAACCATTGCAATCCCACTGAAACGGGTCACGTGACTGTTTCTCTCACTGCTACCTGTGGGATCTTCCTATGCGCTAATCGGCTGCCACACTCCCCGCCATCACAACAGCAACTCTGCTTCTTGAAACACTTGGGGAGCCTGGACGGCCTCTCAAGGTGTTACAGAGAAGCCAGCTCTTTATCTTACGTTAAGGTTAAGAAATGTTTCTACCTGAGGTATCTTCTGCCCTCCCCCTTTTCTTGGCCGGTCTCACGCCAGACGCCCAGCAATGGCGACTTTCGGCACTGGTGACAATGGACAGGTCATCCCCCACTCCCCCGACCCCCACCCTGGCCCTTAGCCCCTACACCAACCCCACCCCCCTTCCTCCCAAATATCATCCATTGCCCCATGACCTGAGCTCAGGTCAGGAACAAAGCTGCTGGCCACAGGAAGGCCAGTGAACTTCAGAAAGTTGACCCTCCCAATCCAATCTACACCAGGAATAGTACAGACAGAGACCAATTCCATTGGCTATTTTACCTCTCTGTTGACAAAGCAGTACAATATGGCAACCAGCATACCCTGCAAGACAAGAAGGAAGATGCGGTTAGGTTCTCCATTCTGTTGTCATCGGCGACAAATACATTTTGTTATCGGGATAATGGCCAATTGTGTATTATAGAGTGGAAAGAGGCTTGTGCATGCTTCATAGATACCAAATGGCTCAATTGTCTGTGTTATCAGGTCAATATAGATCGGCCTGTCTCAAATCATTGCCACAGAGAATGGATGGTCTAATGGTATTACCATGAGACCATTAATCCAGAGACCCAGGTGATGCTCTAGCTGTTGGGGTTTCATGGCAGATTCAATACGAATCTGAGATTGAACGTTTAGTTATGCCAAATTGTTGGGGAAAAGCCCATGGGGTTCACTAATTTTCTTCGCGACCAGGAGAAAACCAATTCGAACTGGCTCACACATGACTCCAGACCCACAGCAATATGGCTGCCTGTTCACAGCCCTCTGGGAAACTAGCTACAGGCAATAAATGCTGGTCATCGACGCCTACATCCTGCAAATGAATTTTGAAAAAATCTGGAATCTCCGCAGGAGCGAAGTGAGGAGAGTTTGTTGGGGAGGTTCTTTCACATGAGCTGGACATTGCTGCCCACAGCCAGCTGGACACAGCAAGATGGCAAAGCCTTTCTCATGTCACTGGGGGCCCTAGGGCAGGACTCGACTCGGGAACTTCTAGCTCTGAGGCTGGTTCACTACCCACTGCGCCTCCTCTGAGACAAGTAGCTGCCTTCAGAAAGGAGCTGGATCTGGTTAGAAGTGGGACTGGTGGTTCCGGATCTGGACTGGGATTTAGACTGGAGTTGGTGGGAGTCTCGTTTGCTGGCCAGACTGCCCCTCAATCTGCTATCTTCTTTTTGAAAAGCCCCTCAAAATTGGGTCACCTAAAAACACAAGGGCAGCAGGTAGAGGGCAGATAGCCTGTAACTCCCCTCTAAGCCATGCACCATTCTGATATCAAACTATATCACCGTTCCTTCATGGTCTCTGGGACAACATCCTGAAACCGCTCACCTTATAGGACAAAGGATGTCCTAAAGGACTGCAGCAGATCAAGGACGAGGCTCCGTAGGGCAGTGAGTGTTAGAAAATAAATGCTGGCCTGGCGAGAGAGCCTCACAACCCATGGGTGAAAGAGATTAATCAGACACATGGCTGTGCCCCAGATCTTGGGAGGGGTGGAAATCCTGCCCTTCTAGCTCTCCAATTGCTGCTAGCCAGTCAGAGGCCTGTGACTCTTCATTGCTTGGCAGCACCAACAGGGGGTTGGTGGTTGTTGCTGGTAAGGTGTCTACCAGAGACTTGGGCATTGCCAAGGTGGACGGTGGTGGGACAGGGATCATAGGGGCTTGGAGGAGGCAGCTGTCAGTTGGGGAACTCCCTTCCCAATACTGGGTCCCTCAATCGGAGGCACTACATCTCTTTAAATGAGGGATCCTCCACTGCTCAGGCACCTGCAGGCAACACCACATCAGCTTGCTTGGCCTACTACTAGCACGGCAGGGGCCCTGCCCATCTCTGGGTAAATACCAGGGTGGGGGGACCCTTAAGCAGGCGTTAACGGCGGTCCCTTCATGGTCTGAGTCAGTGAGTCCATCACGCAATATCATCCTGCCCAATCTAATGGCTCCCTGACAGTGGAACTGCTCAGTCACTTCACCAGCCCTGACGTCCCAATGGAGTGAGCCTTTGGAGAGAAACGGGGATACTGAACGTGTGCCCATCTGTCAAGGGATTCTTCTGACACACATCCTGCCTTTGGGCAGGAGCTTAGAGGATCAATACCGGGCCAGGACCTGAGGACAGAGGACTTGGGGTGGCATGGTGGCTCAGTGGTTAGAACATAGAACAGTACAGGCCCACGATGTTGTGCCTAATTTTTACCCTAAACCTAAGGTCTGTCTAACCTCCACCCCTACCTTATATTATCATCCATATGCCTATCTAATAGCTGCTTAAATGCCCCTAATGAGGCCGACTCCACTACCCTCTCCAACAATGCATTCCACGCCCCTACCACTCTCTGAGTAAAGAACCTACCTCTGACATCTCCCCTGTATCTACCTCCACTCACTTCAAAACTATGCCCCCTCATAATAGCTACCTCCACCCTAGGAAAAAGTCTCTGGTTAGCCCTGCTGCCTCACAGTGCCAGGGACCCGGGTTCAATTCCTTCCTCGGGCAACTGTCTGTGTGGAGTTTGCACATTCTCCCTGCGTCTGCGTGGGTTTCCTCCGGGTGCTCCAGTTTCCTTCCACAGCCCAAAGATATGCAGGCTAGGTGGATTGGCCATTAGAAATTTCCTATACTGTTCAGGGGTGTGTAGATTATGTGGGTTATAGGGGGGTGGGTCTGGGTGGGATGTTCTGAGGGTTGGTGTGGACTTGTTGGGCCGAAGGGCCTGTTTCCGCACTGTAGGGGTTCTTTGACGATGAAAGGTGGCACATTGGTAACATGGCCAAACATCAACCTGCAAACTCACCCTCAAACACCCAGCACGCGCCAACAGTACGGGTGGGAGAGTTCGCTGGTCAGCATTTGACAAAAATACAACATAACACAAATAATCAAATATCACTGGGCTCTCCACCATCACAATCCATGGCTCCAGGCTGCAACGTGCAGGTAAAGAGCACACTGCCATGGAAACCCTGACTGAGTTGCATCACCTCAGCCCCCACTGCTCCCTCTGAGAGAGTCAAATAAATCAGGGCCATCGCTGCTGAGGTGGACCGTACCTGAAAGGAATTTAAAAAGAGGTCGAAGAAGAGCTTGACGTGTCGAAGAGTCCCCTGGGCGTGTTCATCTGTGATAAAGGCAAACACCACTTCATGGATCCCCAACAACGGGATCAGAGTCAGTGTGGACTTGGCCAGTCTGCGGGGAGAGAGACGCAGGCAGATAGAGAGACAGTTAGTGAGTGCGGAGCGAACAGAGCTGAGCTGCGACCCCCCAGCTCCTCAACTATCAGCAAGGCCTTGCAACCCGAGCTCTCTCACATCAGCTAGTTTGTCAGCTCTTCGTTCACTTCCCTCACACTCCCCTTCAACACTGGATCCCAGTCCTCACTGATTAGATCCCAGTCCGAGCTGAGTGGATCCCAGTCCTGGCTGATAGGCCAGTGAGGCTGCCTAGTTAGACTCCCCAGCCTGGATTGGAAGTGATTTCCATCAGGCTCCCCTCCATGGCCAGGCCCTGGTCAGACAGTGAGGATAATGGGCCGGTTCTTACTCCGGGTCTGCAAACCCTGACCCTAAACCAGCTTCACCCTCATTCAAACACACAGTGCCTCCGGCTGAGGGATGCAGTGTCGGGGAGGAAGTGAGAGCCGCCCCTGTTCGATAATCCAACTCCCAACCCCCACCCCATGATCCCTGACCCATCACCGTCCACCTGATACCCCCCCTGCCTCAGGAATGCCCGAACCCCCAGTGGACAGCACTGGAGAGCTGTGCTGAGAGACAGGCAGGCGCTACCATTGCCTGGGTCACTGTTCCTGGGAAGATCAGAGCAGGCACGAGAGAAAAGGGTCAGCACCCTCACCGTCCAGACCACACCGACCAGACCGCACCGACCAGACCTACCGTCCAGACCGCACTGACCAGACCGCTCCATCCAGACCTCACTGACCAGACTGCACCGACCAGGCCACACTGACCAGACCACTCCATCCAGACCGCATTGACCAGACCGCACCGACCAGGCTGCACCGACCAGACCGCTCCATCCAGACCGCACCGACCAGACCGCACCGTCCAGACCCCTCCGTCCAGACCGCACTGATCAGGCTGCACCGTCCAGACCGCACCGACCAGGCCGCACTGACCAGACCGCACTGACCAGGCCGCACCGTCCAGACCGTACCGCCCAGACCGCACGGTCCAGACCGCACTGACCAGACCGCACCGACCAGGCCGCACCGTCCAGACCGCACTGACCAGACCGCTCCGTCCGGACCGCACTGACCAGACTGCACTGACCAGACCGCACTGTCCAGACCACACTGACCAGACCGCACTGACCAGACCCCTCTGTCCAGACCCCACTACCCAGACCCCTACATCCAGACCCCTCCATCCAGACCCCTCCATCCAGACCCCTCCGTCCAGAACCCTCTGTACAGACCGCACTGTCCAGACAAACTGCCCAGGGTCACTGTCCAGGCCACACCATCTGGTTGTCAGTTGCCGGGGACATAACCCTTTCTGCTCAAGTGAGGGCAGCTTTATGCTACCTGGAATTTGACGACGACTATTTTTTAAACCCTCTATGCTTTAGCCCCAGACAATAATGTCTCTGGACTGGCCCCTTGGACATGACTCTCCATCTGCCTGGGAATGAGCTCTCCACCCAGTTTCACAGGCCGTTCTCCTCACCATTGTTTTGGTGTACCTCATTTTCAACCTCAGAAAGATTAAATAAAAACAGATTGGAGGGGTAGAACAGGAGGAATAGAAATGGGGAGGGTAAAGGAAAGGATGTGACGGATGGATGGATGGAGAGGAGAGACTGGAAGGGGAGGATAACCTGAAAGATTAAACAAATAGTCTTACCTGAATTTATAATCTGTGTATCTCATCTGGTGAGCTCTGAGTTTAGACACAAGAATGTGAATAATTCTGATAAAAATGAAGAAATTGATCTGGAAGAAAACAAAGAGGCCTTGTAAGAATTAACATTAGAGTGCTCTCTGAATTTTGATGGTGTAATTCTGTACATGGGGTGAAATATTGTCCACTGTACCAGTATAGACAGCAGGATAGGAGAACGGATAATCCACCAGTATGCCATGTTTTTGTTTGTTGTCCAACACCTGTAGGTAAACGAGGTTTTGGTGAGTTTGAACATCAGAGACAGAACTGAGAAACCGACTCCCCCTGTCCTGGATTCCACTTTCTCCCAAAAAGCATCAACACAAACTCTAAGGTTCAGTTACTGTCACAAGGGCTCGATGAAACCTTGACCTGTATCAGAAATGCACCCATTAGCTCCTGATGATGCTCGATTCCCTACATTTGTTTCTTTTCCGTTAGGATTGGTATCCAGACGGTGTTGGGAATCGGGAATGTATTAGTTGGGAGGTGGGAAACATCACAACCTTTAGAAAAAGTACATGGATGAGCGCTGGAAATGTCATAACTCTCATGGCAATGGGCCTACTTCTGGAAAGTGAGGTTAATACAGGTAGGTCGATGGGACGAAGGGCCTCTTCTGTGCTGTATGCCTCCATGACTGGTCTCAGTCAGGATCAGTATCTGCAGCGTGCATTGGGAAGGCAACTGAGGATAGTAAAGGTGTTAAAGTCCCCAAACCCTTTGAGATTTTTCAGCCACTGCTCCCTCTGAGCACTAATCGTTTCCAGAATGTTCTGATGAAGGATTCAATTTGCAAATCTTCAATTTGCTCCTTTTATTGTTGTTGTTGGGAGGGACAGTTAAGTAAGGTTGCTTGAGCACAACAGGGAGACAGGAATTATGTTGGTGGAGTTACATGAATAAGGGTGGAACTGTTAACACCAGCAGAGATCCTACGGGCAGAATGGCCACATTTCGTCCTGTAAACACTGCCATTTTTATAGGAAGACAACAAACAATCAAATAAAATTTTCCCAACCTTCCAGCCTCACTCCATCCTCCAGCCCCACACTATCCCAGTAAAGAAAACAATTCCATCCAGGTTTGTAACAATTCCTGAAAGTGTGTGTGGGAACCTCCTATATAATTTGCACAGAATGAGTGGGTATATGCTCAGCTCATCCTTCTGTGGGTGGCACGTTTAGAGTCAACTTTCTCTAATGGAATGAGAGACTTGGTGTTTCCCCTCTGAGATGGTCATCACCGCACTGAGTGAAGCTCTGACTCTCCTACAGTGGTAGGGCTCCGACCCCTGGAGTAGAAGGCCCAGGTTCAAGTCCTGCATCATTCCTGAATGGAAAGCTTAACATATGAGCAATGTTTGAGGACTCTGGGACTATACTTATTGGAGTTTAGAAGGATGAGGGAGGATCTAATTGAAACCTACAGAATACTGAATGGCCTGGACAAAGTGGATGTTGGGAAGATATTTCCATTGGTAGGAGAGACTAGGACCTGAGGGCACAGCCTTAGAGTAAAGGGAAGACCTTTTAGAACGGAGATAAGGAGAAACTTCTTCAGCCAGAGAGTGGTGAATCTATGGAATTCACTGCCACAGAAGGCTGTGGAGGCCAGGTCATTGAGTACATTGAAGACTGAGATAGATAGGTTCTTGATTACCAAGGGGATCAAGGGTTACGGGGAGAAAGTGGGAGAATGGGGTTGAGGAACTTATCAGCCATGATTGAATGGCAGAGCAGACTTGATGGGCTGAATGGCCTAATTTCTGCTCCTATGTCTTATGGTCTTATGGTCTGCTCCAGAGGTGTGTAATAACATCTCTGACCAGATTGATTAGAAAAATGGGTTAAATAATATGCTATGGACCAGACCAAACCCTCTCAAAATACATAAAGAAGAAAGTCTAGACCTTAACTTTTTCTTATTTTAAAGGCAAGTGTCAGGTGTTGCATTCTGGATGAATTTGATTGGTCAAACTACCAGTCATGAAGCAAAACACACTCTATTCATAGACTAACTAACTAACTAACTAGCTAGAGCTCCAAAAGCATGTGATCTCAAACAAACCTAGTGGACTATAACCAAATGTCGTATGACTTCTGATCTTGTCCATCCCAGTCCAACACCGGCACCTCTACATCGTGTTCGAACTTAGAAAGAGGCCGTTCGGCTCATTGTGTCTGTACTAGCTCTGCAAGTTTTGTTTGAGATTGTTGATGGAACCTGGTGTGAGGCTCTTTTGTGCTGGATGGCAAAGTCAGGCCATTGTGGTGACTTAATTTGTCGTTTGCTCATGTCGAAGGTTTGTGGAGTGGGGTAACCTATCCCCCGCCCACTCTTCCACCGCCCCCACCAACCCCCGCACGCCCCCACCCCCACCCCCCTTCCCCTCGGGGTTGTGAAAAAGTGACAGGCTCCAGAACCAAACATTCATGCCATTGGGTCAACTTACCCAGTATTTTCATATAAATACTTGACAACCACCCAAGGAACAACGAATAACACTGGTGCTCCTGAAAACCAACATAAAACAGTACAACCTGGGTTACTGCAGAGTGAAAGTGGGAATCCTTTTGGAAGACAGTGCACTGCCATAACATTGTCTCTATGCCTGGCCTTTGCCTATAGCTCACTTTCCTCATTTCATCATTTCCAAAGATGGAGAGTGATAATCGATGTGTGGTATTGATGGTCAAGTTGGGCCTGGCCTTCTGTGGAAACACCCAAACCCAAATCTCACCTGATGCCCACACACACCTTTACCAATCCCCACATGGGCACTGGGCTGGCAAAACCTCTTGCCACCCTGGGGTCACCAAGACTTGGAAGGGGGTGTGATGGCAGTCGGAATGCCTCCATTACCTTCCGGCTCTTCTCGAGTGTATTGAGAAATAGAACAGGAGTAGGCCATTCAGCCCTTTGAGCCTGTTCTGTCATTCAACACTATCTCGAGCTGATCATTCGCAGCACTGGGTCAGACTGAACTCCAGTCCCTTCTCAGTGAAGTGGAGCTTTCACTGAGACGTCAAATGAAACAGCTGCAGTAACCAGCCTGGGAGGAGGGGATTACAAATCCTGACGAGCTATAGGGAAGATGCTGTTAAACTTGAGAGGGTGCTGAAAAGATTTGCAAGGATGTTGCCAGGGACTGGAGGGTTTGAGCTACAGGGAGAGACTGAATTGACTGGGGCTATTTTCCCTGGAGAGTTGGAAGCTGAGGGCTGACCTTATAGAGGTTTATAAAATCATGAGATAGAGTGAATAGACAAGATTTTATTGCCATGGTAGGGAAATTCAAAACCAGAGGGCATAGGTTTAAAGTGAGAAGGGCAAGCTTTAAAAGGGGCCTAAGGGGTAACTTTTTCATACAGAGGGTGGTGCATGTATGGAATGAGCTGCCAGAGGAAGTGGTGGAGGCTGGTACAATTACAGCCTTTAAAAGGCATCTGGATGGGTGATTTTAAAAGGAAAGGTTTAAAGGGACTTGGGCAAAAAGCTGGCAAATGGGACTAGGTTAATTGAGGATATCTGGTCAGCATGGATGAGTTGGGCCGAAGGGCCTGTTTCCATGCTGTACAGCTCTATGACTCTAAGTTGCTGGAGGGGGCCGTGACTGCATGATCCACCGATCCAGCACGGATTCCTTTTGAAGTTCTGGGGTACATTGGAAATGGTCGCGACAGTGATCTGACTGATAATGGCGAATCCCTGTTCCCAGATAACAACGAGCAGGAGGCAACTGAACACCTACCCCAGCCAATGCATAAATAAATATTAAAGTAGCTCTTTTCAGAGAAGACAGCAATCACCAGCAGGTTGTGTAAGTAGATCCCTTCGATCAGCAGCCAATAATAATTTGCCCCGATGCAGTATTGCATGAGGACTTGAGCTGTTCTACAACCTGCTGCAGTCTGTTTGAAAGAGAGAAACACGGGTTAGATGACTCATTGCTAAATGGGTGCAGGAGTGTAAAATGTGTGTGTGTGAGTGTAAAATGAACGGCCAGGTAGATCAATGTGAGCCCATCGATTTTGGCAGGAGGAAAGGCGGTCTCATGATCCTGGCAAAAAACGAATCTCCTAATGAGTTTGAAGAGCCAAGGGATTTGGTGCTAAACTAGAAAATAGTGGGGCCACAAGAAGGCGAAACAAAGCATGAGGGTTCGTTTCTGGGGTTGGGGGAGGTTAGCGTTGAGAAGTGATGTTAAACTTGTACAGAACCTTACTTTGACCACACATAAACCATAAACACTTCTCATCTCCCTTTTAGAAAAAGATAGACTGAGAACGCAAAACAGATTCACAGGAATGTGACCGAAACTGAGAGCGTATCTGACACAAACGATTGTGCATTCAGGGGGTCCTTCCCCTAGAAAAGAGAAATACAACTGCAGACTCGATAGGGACCGTAAAGGCTACAAAAAAAGTTGGTGATAACTGTGATTGGGTTTTTTTCCCTTAGAGACAATGTTTCTACTTGCAAAGACCAAGTCTGGGGGGATGGGAATGCAATGAATCTGCAAATCCAGAGACATTTAGGTGAAATGTCTTTATCCAGAGAGTGGCTAGACTGTGGAACATGGTAAAGGGTAGTTGAGACATGAGGGTGATCCCTTCAAAGGGTGGGAGGCAGTTTAGGGATAATGAACCTGTTCAGACATACTATGACACACCTCCAGGATAGATGGGATTTGAACCCTGACCCTCTGGCCCAGAGGTAAAGACATTACTACTGCACCAGACGAGTCCTGGGAGGAGATCTGTGTGGAGCATTAGTCCCAGCTTGGACCAACGGAGAAGAATGGCCTCTTTCTGTGTTGTCAAGACTTCGTAAGGAGCAAGGAGCAGGAGCTGATAATGTTATAAATGCTACATCATTGAGTGTGTCTAAGAGCATACCCTAGGTGTTATCAAGCGCAACTGATATTAATTGGAAAGTCTAGAGGACGACATAAAAAGCAGGTTCTTCCTGTAAGGGAACAGTAATCTGTACTCATGCTGTAAAGGGGTATATTGTGAATGAATTGATGGGGAAGACACACTGAACCCCACTTTGCCCATTGCCCAGTTTGATGATGGCCAGAAGTTTTTTCCCCCCCTTTATTTATTCACAGGATGAGGGCGTTGCTGGCTAGGGCAGCATTTATTGCCCATCCCTAATTGCCCAGATGGCAGTTCACAGCCAACTACATTGCTATGGGTCTGGAGTCACATGTAGGCCAGACCAGGTAAGGATGGCAGTTTCCTTCCCTAAAGGACATTAGTGAGCCAGATGGGTTTTAATGACAATCGATAATGGATTCATGGCCATCATTAGACTGTTAATTCCAGATATTTCACAGATGTCTAAATTGAAAACATTTTACTGTTTTTCTCGCTGAAAAAGTACACACGACAATGGAAAGGTCATTCATTCACTCAGTGTTCTGGTGCCATTCCACAAGCCTGTGAATTTGATGTCAATTTCAGGTCAGTTTTTTGCTGGGGCCTTTGAAGCTGGCTGGAGGAATGACACAGCCGGCCTCCGACAGACAACGGTGAGCTAATGTACACCTCCCTGGGCTGACAGTTACCTCACTCCACATCAGCTCCCAGTTTCTGTAAAAATCCTCCAGCATTTTAATAGTCTGTACTTACACTTGGGCTAGACCTCATGGGAAACAGAATTCAATCAAGACTGTGTTCATTCCCTAATTATGGACTAAACGTCTCATGTAATCCTGGACTAAGCAAACTGCTTGTTTCGCTAATCATTAGATCCTTGGGTTAATCACACTGGACCATTGTCAAAAGGATTTGAAGAACAGCAAAATATTTTATCCAGCTCATGAGTTCTGTACTGTTTCCTCTCTTTCTTTAGCAGAGTTGGGGGAGGGCCCAAATGGGCCCAGAAATGCATTGGCCCATGTGACCAGCTTCTGATCATGTACAATTCCCAAATCCTGGCTGGCTGGATGATATTCTGACATGAATACTTCCGATTTATCAGGCAGTGTCTATCCCCAATGGAGTGGGGCTGCTGTACAGAATCATAGAACCCCTACAGTGTGGAAACAGGCCCTTCGGCCCAACAAGTCCACATCAACCCTCAGAGCATCCCACCCAGACCCATCCCCCCATAACCCACCTAATCTACACATCCCTGAACACTACGGGCAATACAGCATGGCCAATTCACCTAGCCTGCACATCTTTGGACTGTGGCAGGAAACTGGACCACCCGGAGGAAACCCACGCAGACACGGGGAGAATGTGCAAACTCTGCATGGACAGTTGCCTGAGGGTGGAATCGAACCCAGATCCCTGGTGCTGTGAGGCAGCAGGGCTAACCACTGAGCCACCGTGGAGGTGCTCATGTAGTTTCAATGTCACTGGACCATCTATCCAAAGGCCCGAGACTAATGATCTTGGGATCGTGGTTCAGAGGGTGAAGTTTGAATCCAACAAAATTCTGGAGCTAAAAACTAGCCTCATGGCAACCGTTGTCATCAAAACCATTCAGTTTGCTAATGTCCTTTTGGGATGGAGATCTGCCGTCCTGGCCTGTGCATGACTCCAGGCCAAAGATATGTGGGTGGCTCTTCATTGCCCAGCAAGGCACTGAGTTAGAATCCCTACAGTGTGGGACCAGGCCATTTGGCCCATCAAATCCACACCAACCCTCTGTAGAACATCCCACCCAGTTGCTGTAACCCTGCATTTCCCATGGCTAACTCACCCAGCCTACACATTCTGGGACACTACAGGCAATTTAGCATGGCATATCCACCCTAACCTGCACATTTTGGACTGTGGGAGGGAACCAGAGGAGGAAACCCACACAGAAACGGGGAGAATGTGCAGACTCCACACAGCCCGAGGGTGGAATTGAATCTGTGGGCCTAGTGCTATGAGGCAGCAGTGCTAACCACTGAGACATCGTGCCACTACAGCTCAAGGGCGACTAACATTGGCAATAAATGTTTGCCTTGCCAGTGACACACATCCCAAGAAAGGATTTGTAAAAAGCATGATGGCCAAGTATCTGGTTACCAGTGAGTGTTTCCCCTTCAAACCAACATGAAATCACCTGAGAGGACCTACCTCATTGTTAAACCAGACTTTAATATCAACATCCTCTGTGATTTGTTTGTACTGCGTTTTGAAAAGAGCGTCTTTAATGAGGATAGAGACTGCTCGAAGGATGAATGAGGCGAACAGGTTCATGTGGATGTAGTTCCGCATACAGTGAAGCTTCCTGGGGGAAAAATACAGATGATTAAGAACGGTGGGTCAGACAGGTTTCAGATCAGCGGGACTGGATTTCTCTTCCTGTGAGCCTTGTGCGAAGGGAAAGTTGAACGCTGCCGCAGTTTTGGGAAAGACTGTGTCTCCAATATGAATACCAAGATTGGGTCGAGGGCAATTAGCTGCAGAGTTAGACCCCCCTCCTCACTCTTCCCCAACACCAAATCATCTTCCGCGGCCCATCCTGATTTTCTCCACACTGACCGTAAATCCTGGTGGAAGATATTTTCTAATCAGCCGTTCAGATGTGTTGTGACACACCTCTAAAGCAGGTGGGAGTTGAGCCTAGGCCTTCTGGTCCAGAGGTAGGGATGGTACCAGGGCACCACGAAAGCCCGCCATCTCTTGGCATAGGCTGATCATTCAGCGGAATGTTTGACTCGTTCTTTGCAGCGGACTCATTTGGCGCGAGTGGTTATTTAGATCGTAGAGTGAAGGGGTCAACTTTGACCCACATCTCTGGCCTGGATGGGGATCCACGGTCAACAGGTCAAAGGTCAGCGTGCTGGAGGTGAGAGGTCAGAGAACTAGAGGTAACGTTAGCACATTATAGGTGAAAAGTGAGTGCACTGTAAGTGGAAAGTCATTGCACTCGAAATGAAAGGTCAGAGAACTAGAGGTGAAAGATCAAAGCATTAGTGGCTCGATATTTGATTGCATCACCAAACTCTTACCCAAATCCCACCAGAATTCCCAGGGCCAACACCAGGGTTCCCAAGGACAGCGAATATCCCACTGTGTACATTATCTTGAAACCGTGTAAAATCTTCCCTTGTTCCTGCTGAAAAGTGATAGAAAATACTGATTACCAAAGGCATGATGGGTAGCACAGCAGCTCCATAATTCCAGAGGGAGCCCCAAAACAGTTTTTGGGCAGAAATGCGGGAAAGCAGCCATCTTTGTTAATTCTGATGAAATAGTTGAGAGACATGGTGATCAGAGAATATCTGAGCAGATATCATTATATACATTCAGCAAAAAAAAGGAGGTGGAATCTAAAGAATATAATACAGGAAGGCAGAGTACAGAGCCCATTTGTTATATTGTGTGGCTGCTAGCTCTTTGAAACTCCAGTCTGAGTTCCTCCACTTCCATAGTCCTTTCCCACAGCCCAGGCATGGAGCTGTTTCCAGAGAATATGATTAGAAATTCAGCGCGTTTTTCCTCATTATTCATTCACAGGATGTGGGTATTACTGGCTAGGCCAACATTTATTGCCCGGAGGGCAGTTGGGAGTCAACCACATTGCTGTGGGTCTGGAGTCACATGTAGGCCAGACCGTGTAAGGATGGCAGTTTACATCCCTAAAGGACATTAGTGAGCCAGAAGGGGTTTTGCCCCGACCATCAGCAAGGGCTCATGGTCATCATTAGACTCTTAGCTCCAGATATTTATTGAATTCAAATTCCACCATCTGCCGTGGTGGGATTTGAACCTGGGTCCCCAGAATATTACCTGGGTCCCTGCAGTAACAGTCCAGCGATAATACCACTAGACCATCACCTCCACTCAAAACGGCAGCATCGCACAGAACAGCCATTAAAGTCCTGGCCTAATATTCGGTCTCTACATCTCAATAAATAAAGATTGAAGCAGGAACAAAAACAGAAGTTGCTGGAAAAGCTCAGCAGGTCTGGCAGCATCTGTGAAGAAAAAAATCGGAGTTAATGCTTCGGGTCTGGTGACCTTTTCTTCACAGATGCTGCCAGACCTGCTGAGCTTTACCAGCAACTTCTGTTTTTGCTCCTGATTTACAGCATCCGCAGTTCTTTCGGGTTTCATAAAGATTGAAGCAGGACTGGCATAGGCGCTTTGCCTGTCTTGTGATGGATTGCGGGCCCCAGTACAAACACTCACACCCCACTGTGATTCCTGTGATTATTCAATCATTCGGACAGCTAGCCGGTGCTGGGGATATTGGTGCTCCCACCTGAGCTCGGTCATCCTTGGGATCATCTTTGCATTGGCTACTGTCTCTCCAGGGCTGTTTAATGGAGTCCATCACCCAGTTACCATCAGGCCCGCACTTTCTGAAAACGAAGCCGTCCTGCACTGTAACAGACAGAAATTAATCACCTCCTTCACATTAAAGTCAGGCTGAACTCTTCCGCACTGTACGATTCACTGCTTCAAGTTTATTTAGTTTTTATCCAAGCAACATCACTGGAAGTTCTCAGTGAAAGACTTTTACCTGTATTATACCACGGTAAGTACCAGGGACAGGAAACGTTCACAGTGGTGTTTGGGAGACCATCGGGCCAACAGGCGTACTTGTCGAAGGTCCGATTACACACGACACCTACCGAGAAAACACAAGGGACCGACTCACTGAAGGTTTGCAGATGCAACCTGATGTTAGCCTCAGTTCAATTGATAACCACTGCACTAACCCAGGGACATAACCTCCGCACTAACCCAGTGGCATAACCACCGCACTAACCCAGAAACATAACCACTAACTAACCCAGTGACATAACCACTAAACTAACCCAGGGACATAACCTCCGCACTAACCCAGTGGCATAACCACCGCACTAACCCAGGGACATAACCACCGCAATAACCCAGGGACATAACCACCGCACTAACCCAGGAACATAACCGCTAACTAACCCAGGGACATAACCACCGCACTAACCCAG